GATATTTCTGGGTTGCACAATTTGTGGACAGCCCCTGGGAATGGCAGTTCATAGGCAAGATGAGGGCTTTCTGATCACCAGAAAAGAAGGAAGGAACCAAGGATTAAGTGGATGTCTTTCATAGCAGCATCCCTCAAGGGAAGACTTGGCCCAGACTCCCCTCCTTCAAGGTGGGGCGATTGCCTAGATCCACCGGGAGACCCAAAAGTTTAGGCTGTACATTTCTTCACGTAAATGTTTGGATCCTCCTACCACCCCCATTGTTCCTTCATGAGCCACACCTGTTCTCTAGTGCCTTCTGGAAAATAAAGCTTCCTTCATTTTCTACAGTGATGCTCCATCTCTCTTAATGTATGCTACAGCCATCGGCAATGACTTGCAGTTTCCTAAATAAGCCATGGTCTCTCTCACCCTTAGACCTTTACATAGATCTTTACATATTGCCTTTGGCAATATGGCGGACTAAGGTTCTTTGTTTTTTTTATTTTTTGTTTTTTTGGTTTCATCTCCTGGTTTATTAACTAGCCACGGGCCACATCAGTGACATAGGTAGTCTCATTCCTCTAATACTAGTTTTAAAAGTACGATTATAACCCAGCTATGTACACCAACATATTCCTTTCCAGAGGATTCTGTGTTTTCAGGGTTACTAAGATGTAACATAACCAGAAGCTATGATTCCATATTGATTTCCAGATCAGAAAATGCTTTATCCGTCCAGGTCACTTTAACATCACTATCATACACCTATGGTAAAAGCAAGTTGCTTTTGCAAAAAGTTTAGTCATCCCAATGTCAATCTCCTGGTGTTTGGTACTGCTTGTAGAAAACGTTACCATTTGGGGGAAGCTGGGGGAAGGGTACACAGGATGTCTCTGTTATTTTTCCAGTTTCCTCTGAGACTACAATTTAAAAAATCAATTAAAAAAATGTTACTCATGGAATAGAGGATAAACATTTCAGTTCAAATTTTAAAACGAAAATCTGAAAATTCTTAGGAGAGCTTGGGAGTCGCCTAACAACTGTGATGCCTCAGTCAGGGGAAGGGTGAAGCCCAGTGAACAAAGGCTTATTTCCTTCTAAAGCGTCTTACTAACTGGCAGTGCTAAACATGACATGGCATGTCGCTCTGCTCTCCCCAACTCCTAGACCAAGGAGGCTCTGAATTAGCATCAGCTCACAATCAACAGGTGAGAGGGAGGCCCCCGATTTTGTGAAAACTCAGGGAGAGAACAGTGCAAATAATTTATTTCTGTCACTCGGCGTTTGAGGCTCACTCGCACCAACTGCACAATCCCGGGCCAACAGTCTGCCAGGGCTCAGAGCCCGATCGGGACCCAGGCTGGTCTGGGTTTCATCTCGCGACTTCCGACGGCACCAGCGGGTCGGCCTGGCTCAGGGCGCGCTGGTCCTTCTTCTCCTTCTGCAAGACCTGCTCCTCCCACAGCGCCTGGTCCCACCTGATCGTCGGTGAGCACCACGGGCTTGTACTTCTCGTCGAAGAGCCGCTCGTTGGCCTCCGAGTGCAGCTGGTGGGGCCCGACGGCGCGCAGATGTGCCAGCAGGTGCAGGAACTCATCGTCGTTGATGTCACAGTCGCGCATCCGGGCCCCCAGCACCCACCAGCGGCCCACGAAGCCCACATCCAGGATCCGGTCCAGGAAGTCGACCCAGCCGGGCTGCAGGTAGCGGCAGCGGGCCTGGCAGAGGCTGGCCTGGGCGTCGAAGGGGCCCGGGCTCACGTGGTGCAGGCAGCCGCGGCCCCGCAGCCAGAGCAGCAGTTGCACGAACGCCTCCGAGTCACGGTTGCGCGTGGCGGGGCGCCAGCAGCAGGAGGGTCCCTGTCGAGTGGAGCAGCGCCTTCTCAAAGGCCACCGTGCCGCCCAGCAGCCCCCCCGTACACGGCCGCCTGCACGGGTCGCGCCTTCGCCACCGCCACGTCCCCGCAGGATTCAGCGTAGTCCCGAAGCAGCGCACCCACACGCCGGGCTTTGAGGCCGCAGCGTCACCAGTCTCAACGCGGCTTCGGCGCCAAAAGGGACTAAGGTTCTTTGGAACCACTAACCCCACAAGCACCCGAGGCCCTGTTTCCCCCATTGACAAAACCTTTGAGGTGACTGTAATTCCCATGCAAATGATATAGAGATAGACAGCAAGGTTGAAGAGAGCTGCTGTGTGCTGTGATAGTATATGCCCCTTGTGGAATTTATTAAAGGCTCTGAGAAGTCCTGCAGTTAAAATAGAAAAAAAGAAAGCTTGTTTAACTTTGTTTAATCCAGTATGTCTCTAAATTATTAACCAGGGAACGGTGTTTTGCATAAATTCAGTGTTACACACTTTGGAAAATACCCGTTTAAAGTATGGGAACATTCTTATGAATTTATAAGGAGGAAAGGAGAGGGCACTTTTGAGTTTCTATGTGCTCCATTCTAATGTAGTTGTAATGTAGTGGTTGACATGATGGTTCCAGGCTGAACAAAGAAGGGAAAACTGTCCATGCTCTAGGGTCAAATCCTTACCTTTAGAGTTTGAAGAGTTCATTTTATCAGATCACTGCAAGTAAGCATGCACAAGAAGTTGATTTATACTAACTTAAATCACTTGAGATGCATCTAAAATCCAGAATGACAATGTGATATTCTGTCGCTACATGAGGTTATATGCTGAGTGATCAAGAACATGAGCTCTGAAGTCAAAAAGACCCTGATTCAGATCCCAGCTTCCTAGCTTCCTATTTATGTGACCTTATGTGAGCCTCACATAATAATGCTATCTACCTCCTAAATTAATCCATATAAAGTACTGAACTCGGTTATCAGGGAAATAGAACTTGAAGACACTGTGTCTCACAGTAAATTTTGTTAGGCTGTTAGAGTGTCTAGAGATACAACCCTATTCTACTGTAGAATAACTATTAACTGGAGAACATGGGGCTGAGAGCAAACATTGACTGTAAATGAGATTGATAATTATATTCACCGGAAATTTTCTAAAAATTTTTTCACAAGAGAACTACGGTTGCCCGTGGGATTAATGAACTTTGCTCCACAAATAATGAGGAATGATCAGGGGTCACAGAGCTCCTGGGTCTTTAATCCATCATAGAGTTGCCCATGTTGCAGAGCGGGAGATCTGATGGTGACTTACAGCTGAGATTTGGGGCAGCGTGGCCTGTGAATAGGAAAGAGGAGATTAAAGGGAAGCTCAGCAAGAATGAGAGAAAGCGGGAAGTATTTTTAACAGCTGCTGTTTAAATGTGGAACTCGAAGAACACAAAGTATGTCCCCAAAAGATTTCTGGGATGTTTCTTTGTGGTGCATGATAAAAAATCCCCGAGTAATCCTGCTTTAAGGAAACCTACACTAAAGGTCTACATTATGTTTCAAGGTTTCTAACCTCAGATTTGTGTTTCCTTTGAGTGTGATGCTGTGCTTATATTGAGACACATGGGGCCACTACATTTATTCGAGTTACAGCTGCCAGGCTTCTTTTTCTTCTTTTATTCAAATTTGTTTAGGTCTCCTTTATTGCTATTTCCCACAAATCACTAGATTCTTCTTCATTCATTGTAACATCATGTGATTCATGTCTCAAGATACATTGTGATTTACAATATATCATGTTATTTACATATTTTATTACATTATCTCTTCTCTTGCATATTAGATAAGCAGCTGTTTCATAAGATTTGGAAGTTACTTTTATTTCCTTCACAGAGTGCTATGCTTTGAAATCATGTCTTAGAGCTGGTTAATTCTGGGAAGACTTGCTATATATGGTTAATTCCACTGTACATAAATTATCAGTGTCAGAAACTGCAATCTGCCTCTGTCATCATTCAGGCTACATTCTGACTCAAGTTGGGGGAAATCTGGTCACTTTCTTAACCATTCAGCAAGTTGGAGAGTGAAGCCACGTAGGCTTGATTTGAGTACCTGCCTTATTTTAATTATTTTCAAATATGAGCTTAGAGAGAACCAAATATGATTTTGTATTCCAAATCAACACTGTGATCTAAGAACCAGGAGCTCCCAGGACAGACCTGGTTTCCATTTTTCTGTTCCATCCACATCCTTATTGGTTAATTAATTTGAATAGACTGCGTGGCCCGATTTTTGGATCAGAAGATGTGGTCGCCATACTCACAGAAGAAGGAATCAGGGAAAGTAGACTCCCCTTTAGGGAAGGTACGTAATGAAGGGTAAGGCTAGTTGGAGTTTAAGGGATAAGGGAAGTTTTACTGGTTTGTATTTAAGGATAAGGGAAACTAATATCTGTGTAGGCAAAGAAGAGTCAGTGGGAAGAAAGGGATTGAAGGTGGAGATATCCACTGAGGCAAAGTGAATTTGTGCTAAGGGAATAATTTTGAGCCTCTGAATGAATGTCTTTGGTGCTTCTATCTAATGCACTCATTAATTTCCCTCTCGCTACCACCTTCTTATTACCAGTTGTGGAGCAGGGAATGAGATTTATTTATTTTGTTTATTTAGATACATCTCCTCATTACCTATTTCTTCCTTACTTGTATAGGTGGTTCTGTCCCTGCACACCTCCAGGTAAATCTCAGTGGAATCAGGGTCTTTGAGGGCTGAATGTTGGCAGAGCAGACCGTGAAGTTTTGAAGCCTGGTGTGCAGAGGGTCCCTGGGTCTCCTGCGTGTTCAGACATAGGGTGCATATGCCTATATGTGTACAGGCCTCCTCCCCCTACTGCCTTCTTCCCTCTTCCATTTCAATTGCTGTGCCCATGCCCACCCGCATTTCTTTTCATGGTGATGGTTAGTCCCGGAGGATGAGGAAGCAAATGGTACATTTTACTTCACTGCTACTCTGCAGAGTGTCACAGTGAACTGGTTAGGGGATGGTGTGCTAGATCAGTTCTGCTTCTGAAAATAGGAAACAAGCCTTCCCCTACCCCCAAGGAGTGGGAGGGGGCAGGCAGGAGAGATATCAGAAAGGTCTCCAAAACAGGAGAGATAATATAGAACTATTCACCAAGCAGAAACTTCAGTTGAGAAACCTATAAAATTTTGAATGGCTCTCAAGTAAATATCTGTCATAGGGGATACCAGCCTTGGTGTAACAGTGACTTTTGTTGCTTTATTTCAGAACGCCAACCAGGCACCTCTATGGCCAATTCCAGTGCCCTCCCTTCAAGTTCAGCTGGGATCAGCAAGGAACTGATTGATCTGCAGCCCCTCATCCAGTTCCCAGAGGAAGTTGCCAGCATCCTGATGGAGCAGGAACAGAATATTTACCGAAGGGTCTTGCCGGTTGACTATCTTTGCTTCTTGACCCGGGACTTGGGCACTACGGAATGCCAGAGGTCCCTGCCCTGCCTCAAAGCATCCATCTCAGCATCCATTCTTACCTCCCAGAACGGAGAGCATAATGCCCTTGAAGATCTTGTGATGAGATTTAATGAGGTAAGAAGCCACTCTGAGATGTTTTGTAATGATTTTTAAGCATTTCTCCTTTTAGGTTTGTTTGTTACTGATATCTCATCTACCTGTCTGTCTGCCCACTTCCATGATGACTGTCTCTTTTCCAGGCAATGAGATAGACACACTGTCATCCTCCCTTTCACTTCACTCCACCCTTCAGCCTAATTGAGACCATCTCCATCCCATACCATTACTATGTCCACAAGCCTTCTCCCTTTGGACAACCAGTATCCCCCCCGCCCCATTTTCTCTATGCCCTTGCCAAAATATTCTCCCTGGGCCCATTTTCAAAGATTCTCCCCCTGTTCCTACAAGTGCTTTTAAGACCAGATGTCTCAATTTTGGGTTTGGCCAAGGGATCATGGGATCTGTCTGGCCCACTCTGTCTTCCACTATCAGACCTCCTCAGCAGAAATTAAACACTAATATACCTGGGTAAGGAGAGCTGGGACGAACATGGTCATGAGGGGCAATGAATCACCTCATTCCTGATCTCTGCATCCCATCAAGCTCCTCAGCCCCAGAAAGTCCCTCCATGGCCTCCAAGGCCTTGCCAGAAGGAAGTTCTAAAGAGGACAGGTGTGACCAGAGTCTGGGAACACCTAGGAAGGAGGCAGTGTAAGAGCTCTAGGCACTCACTGGGAGGAAAAGAGCCAATGGCTGGCCACCCTGTGGCCCTGGACCAAGGATAAAGGACAGGATGGAGAGGAGGTCGCCATGCTGTGCTAGGGTCACAGGATGCTCCTCTCTCAGGCTTAGAGAACACTTTCATTCCATAGCATAACCCCACACCCAGACCTTTCTGTTCTATATTTTATTTCTTCTAGACTTCATTTCTTTGTCTTGAATATTAAAACACAAAACTTCAGTCTGTGTGTTTGGTGGTTGTTGGTTGGTTGAATTCCACAAATACAGTAGTTTCCTACTTTAGTCATTTAGTAAACTACCTAAATGCTAAGAGGATGCTCCCATCCTAGTTCGTATATATCTCTGATTGACAGAGGATCAATCAGTCTTTGTTACTTAAACACTTTCCAACTATAGCAGTTCACTTTGCAGCCTCCATAGCCTTCCAGTCATGACCCTGGTGATGGTTGTATCACAACAGTGATAAAGTGGATGGAAAGTGTTAGAGGCTGAGCTCAAGCAATTCTGTATCCAGACATGCCTTGAGCATCATTCCTCAAAGGGAGATCCATTATCCATAGGAATTGCTAATATCCATCTAGCACCGTCATACTAATTATTTAATATGTGCCACTTATTTGTTCCTCACAACAACCCTGGGAGACAGATCCTTGTCATTGACCCCACTTTAGCAATGGGGAAACTGAGACATGAGGAGATGAAGTTCTTCGCCCAAGGTCACATGGGTGGTAGGTGACAACAGTGAGACTCAAGCCCAAAGAGTCAGGTCTCAGAGCCTGGGCTTTGAACCACAACAATATCCTGCCTCTCACCTGTATCAGGCTCATACTGAGGGTGACACCTGCTAAATTGCAGATTCCTGGTCCACTCCAAACTGAGTAAGACAGACTCTCTGGGAGTCCACATGAATGCTTGTAAACCATACGGCCCCCAAAGTTGCCTTTTAAAATAAATCTGATGTTCTTGATTTTCCTTGCTGATAAAAACAGAGTGGAAGATGAAAGTTCCAGTAAACTGGGTGATTGTATTAGTGCATTTTACTGTGTATCATGAATTATTTTAAACTTCCTGATCGACTCACTCAGACATCCTTAGGACCCTACCCTTGTCCTTTGTCGCTATTGTTGTTGTTTTAAATTCCACCTGAAGTTAAAAGTGATTTGCCTGAACTTTAAAAAGCTAGTTTTAAGTTAGTTTTGGAGAGGGAAAACTTGGATCTCTTCCATTTAGTACCATAACTTTGGGAATCAAAGATGAAACAGTGATTTCACTAATTCAGAATTAGTGATGATATGAACCACAGCTGGGTTAAGGCATGCTTGGGACTATCTCTGAAAATAGTTAAGCTAAGCAACTTCAAAATGTAAACAAGGTTTCTGGGAAAACACCTAAACTACTTAAAAGAACAGTCTGTATTCAAGTATTCTCAAGCATCTATTTTCATACATATTATGCATATGCCGATTAAAAAATCAGTCTAATGTAGTCATTACAGGCAGATCCCAAATGACCTACGCTAGGCAAAACTGGGAGAGCTAAATTCTAGTTGTTTTATATCCTTTCAGCTAAAAAGGCTTCATTCCATTGAAAGAGAATTCTTAAATTCAGATTTCACCTATTTAGAATGGTCTTGCCTCCAAATTAGCGTGGCTTTACTTTCTGTAAAGAAAAAGAAGAAAAGGAGCTAGCATTTAGGACTGGACTGGACATTGTCGCTTTTTTTTTCTTTTAATTATATTGGAGTATAGTTGATTTACAATGTTGTGTTAGTTTCAGGTGTACATCAAAGTGATTCAGTTATACATATACATATATTTATTCTTTTTTAGATTCTTCTCTCATATAGGTTATCCCAGAATATTGAGTAGAGTTCCCTGTGCTATACAATAGATCCTTGTGGCTTATCTGTCAGTGTCACATTTTTTAATCCCACTAATCCTTATGACAGTTGTGTAAGGCAGTTATTATCTCTGACTCACAGGTGAAGAACGTGAAGCTTAAACAACAAAATAAATAATGATAGTATTGGACTGTGGTCCATAGAATAAAGTAAATATTCATGAGTCTATACTGATATAAATAAATAAGTGAATAAATAACTCAATGGGAAGAGAGGGAGAGGTACAGCTCTTACTTATAAAAGATTTCAAATTAATAAATGTAGAAGGGATGAGGGAAATGAGAAATCACCATTAGGACACCCCCGCAATAAATTGTTACAGGTGAGAACCACTGATGAGTGCTAAAATTATTGAACAAAATATGAGAAACAAGATATTTGCATAGTCTCAAAGTATCTATTCACAAAATATGTATTAATTATAAAAGGAAAAATAGAACAGTGTAGAACCCCAGTAGATACCCATCTTAAGTAAGTGCTCAAGGTCAACATGACCAGTAATAAGACATATTGATGTCTTATTACTGGTCACATCTCCTGATGTGATGCACTCAGAAGGACTAGATATAGTCTCTATGACGTATTTGCCCCCCCTAAAAAAAATAACCGAACTCTAATCATAAGAAAAAAAACCACCAGGCAACCCCAAATTGAAAGACCTTGTACCCTTCAAAAGTGTCAGGGTCATGAAAGGTAAGGAAGGACAGAGGAATTGTCAAAAATTAGAGGAGACCAGAAGTCATGACAACTAAATGCAGTTTGGGATCCTATTAGGTCCTGGACTAGAAGAAGGATACTGATGGGGAAACTGGTGACATTCTAATCAGGCATGTCGTTTAATCAGCATGAATGTATCAATGTTAATTTCCTGGTTTTGATAAAGGGACTATATTTATGAAAGATGCTAACACTGGGAGAAGCTGGATGAGCTATGTATGGGAACTCTCTGTATTTTAATAACTTTTCTGTAAATCTAAAATTACTTCAGAATTAAAAGGTTTAAAAAAATAGTGAAGCTCAGAGAGGTTGAGTCACTTGTCCAAGGTCACACAGTGGCTGAATGAATGTCAGAATCCAGATGTCTGTCTTTAAAGTCTATTCTCTTCTCAGCCAACTGCCTTGCCTCTCTACTTGTTAAATTATCAAGTTAAAGTTTGTAGTAAAACCAGAATTTCTGATTTTGAATTTAATTAGCCTTGGTCTCCTTTCGCTCTTCCCTCCCTCTCTCTACTTCTGTTCTAAACCTCCTGTGCATCTACCCTTTTTCTACTCCTACCATTTCTATTTTTATCAAATTTCCTATTACCACTCCATTCATTCACTTAAGACTTATTTATTGAGTGCCTACTATGCTATAACCTTTTCTTTTTTAATTGGTGTGTCACACACTCTTTTAAATAAGAAATGAGCAATATATGATGAAAACTTACAACATTATTAGCCCATACTTTGGTTCTGTCAAAATTGGATTCACAAAATAAATGCACTTTCCTCAGTGGAAGTAAAATATATATTTTTTGAACATGGGAGAATCTCAAAGACAAGAGAGAGACTACTAGCTGCATTGCTAGTTACTTAGGAGAGAAGCGAACGCATTTGTTCATACATTCAGTCATTCAGTTAACATGTTTTCAGCACTTCTCAGAAGCAGGAGACCATGGTGGATAAGCACTAAGGGAAATGAGTAACAGTCTGCGGCTGCCAGAAGCTACCAGTCTTAAATTGTAGTCAGGCATGGGCACAAATCACTCCCAAAAGAGGCAGAAAATACATGCAGTGTGAGTGGCACAGATGGTGGGAGCCGAGGTGTCTAGGTGGGTGATCAGAGCTCTCTCTGCTCAGCACTGGAGTTTGCGGCTGGGCCTTGAGGGATGGCTGGGATAGAAGGGGACCATCACGGGAAAGGGAAGGAGGACATTCCAGACGAGAACACAACCAGTTCTTGTCATGAGCAAGAAAGATTCATGGCCTAAGGAGGCAGCTTGCTGCTCGTTGTCAGTAAAACCTGAGCATGAGCTAGAAGTTTCCCGAATTCTTACAACTATTTACATAATGACTTAATTGTAATGTGGGGAAAGGGGAGAAAATCCCTGATGCCTCTCAAGCAATGTTGCTTAACGTTAGTTCTTAGGAAAATATGGTTAAAATGCAATTCCAGGTACAATCATGAAACAACTGAAAGTGTTTGGCTTACATTAAGGAAGGCCAGGAGATAAATCATTTAAAATCAATTTAGACTGTGGCTTGGAAGCAATTTGTCTCCCCATTTCTCTATCTCCTGCCCGATGTCAAGACTGGTACTCACCGGAGTGACTTCTCTTTATCCTTGCAAGTAAACAGAAGCAGGTACAAGGGGCCAGCCCCCAAGCCGGTGGTAGTCAAGGGGGCACTGGGGGTGGGCTCCATCCTGCTCCACTTGGTTTGGGAGACAGGG